CTGCAAGTGTTGCTGGTGGATGAGTTGTCGCTGGAATTTCATTGTGTTTTGCAACTTCATACGCCGTTGTGGGCTGCTTGCATGACGCCATCGTTGCGGGCCGGGAAAAAAGGGCGTCCGCAGGGCATGTGCGAAGGGACACTCCTATAGGTCAAATTGTGTTTATAGGAAACTTCTGTCACCGGCTTGCCCGTCAACTGCTTGTATAGTACGCTTTTTCTTCTTATTTATACTTGACGCACCTATGACTACAAACGTAGCAAGGTCTGTGATAAAAAAATATATACACATCGAATTCAGCTGTTTGTGCTAGATGATTGAACCGCCAGCAGAATTTAGAAGAAGATTGGAACTATCATTTTTTATAGTTGCGTTTGTAATTCCCGGGCCACGAATTCACTCTTTGGAGGGGTCCGGAACGCTTCTTCTATGACAAGACCACCTACACAGGCAGGGCTTTTGGCTGTTAAGTTTTCCAAAAAAACTAGGAACCAAATCATTCGTGCGTGGGCTATCCTGCGTCCATATGTAGTAGCTTCGTATTGCTAGTAGCGAACCGCTTCCTTACTTAATTAAATAGGTGCCTGCTGAATTAAGTAGCAGGAGGGCGGAGCCGGCCAAAAGGCAAAAGGGCTGGTTCGGCTTAATTTTATAAGCAGGAACCGGCTGTTCAGAGGGGGTCTAGTCCTGACGATGCCATGCGCTGTTTGTGGCAAGGTGTTCACACCTGTGGTGGGCCAAGCACTGCGACTTGGCCACTGGCAATTGGTTGTGTTTTGGTATACGGTATATGTATGATTGTACATGATTGTACATATTCAAAAAGTTGAAGAGCCAGTTCAGGTTTGCAAAGATAGCTTTCTGGCTTCGTTGCGGAATGGTCTCCAGATGTCCTTGTTTGTGAGAAACCCAGGCGGCGGGTCCCACTGTGTTTGCACGTTTCATGATTAAACAGACCATACCCAAGTACAGCGCAGGACTGCAGCCGCGGCCTCTCAACTTGCAGTTTGGAGGTGAAATGTGCCGGGGGTCAGACTCCCGTTTATGTCAAGATACTGTTCACTGCAGATCTTGACCTCGCTTACGATGCAATTCTTGCAGGGATTTGTGACTATAGCATGTGAGTGAGTGCTGCATACCAATTGTCTCCCCTCCACATTCACTCTTCTGCAAGCTCCGAGTCATGATTATTGGCCTTTGTTCTTGGGCTGCTTGCTGTTGGGACCCCATCGCAGATGCTTCGTGTACCAGCATCGTCAATGTGTTGGACTGTTCTTGTTACTAGTAGCAAGAATGCTCCTAGTAAGTAGTAAGGCCAGGAGCCCCTGGTAGCGTCCTTGCTCCTAGTAGCGATGCCAGGAGCCCCTAGTGCTTAATTATAATCTCACAAGCTTTTTGTACTGGACTTCCAGTGCTGATGTTATAGCGTGGTCTTCCTAAAGGCAGGAGCAGCGGGCCAGAGCGCTTCTTCTACGACCGGAGCTCATACACAGGCCTGGGATTAAATTTGACTTCGCTTTTTGCATCTGACATGTTGGTCATCTTGAAGTTGCCTAAGGCATGTCTCCTGTAACTTGCTGTCTGCCAAGTCTGTTCGATGCTCCAGGTGTCCATCTTTGTGGCGGACCGAGTGTCAATGACAAGGATGCGGATACTAATTATCAAGCATTCAATCAAGAATTGTTAACACAAAGTCACAGGCTTTTGGTCTTGAATTTGTTGTTCTCCCTTTTTCTCCCTCTCTATTGCAGTGATTTTTCTCAAAGACAGACAGCTATAGGGATTGCTGTGCCATGTGATGCTTTACATTCTCTCACTTTCAGGAGAATGATCCTGACGGCAACTTTTGCCGAAGCCTGCGACCAAAGAGATGCCACTCTCAGCCCAACATGAGGAGCGAGTTCTTGCCATAAATTTGGGTCCTTTCTCTATGATGCTTCAACCGCTTCAACCTGTCTTCAGCGACGACGGTCGTCCTCACCTATCACAGGCTGTTGAGATTCGACACAAACAGAACATATTTTTCGGGTCAGTTGGATTTGATGCTGTGCTGAATATGACCTGCCCTGAAGGCCTGGTCAAATCCACAGATCCCGGCCAGCAGATTCCAACGTCAGGCTGAGCCGCTGATTCAAAAAACATGTTCAGTGTTCCCAATGCTGCCGTATTATATATGTTGATTTATGTTCTGTCCTCCTAGTGGCACCGGTACTCAATAATGATTTGGTGTTCCACACCAGATAAAGCGGATTTTCATGTGAATCCATTCGGTTGCATATCTCATTCTGACATCATTGCGAGATAGTCCTTACGGTTCTTCTGTTCTTCTGCCGCTAGGTTTCCAGACAATGACTGTCAGCTACGCTCGCAATAGGAGTTGATAAATGCATAGCAGTTGATTTTGATTGTGTGGAGAGTGGAGAGGATAGATGGATGGATGGATGGATGGATGGATGGACGGATAGATAGATAGATATATAGATAGGCAAATAGATGGATGGATGGATGGATGGATGGATGGATGGATGGATAGAGAGAGAGAGAGAGAGAGAGAGCTGGCAGGTTTTTGCAGAAACGGCTTGAGGATACGCCGAGGTAGCTGAGCATCGATTAAGCACAGTTTTGTTTTTGTAGCCCTATATGTGGTGGAGGCTGAACATAGTCGAACTCTCTCTCTCTCTCTCTCTTACCCCGCAAAGGCAGAAACCAGTGACTGGGATTTGTTCAGTCTGTGTAAGTTTGCATAAGCACTTGCCATCGCTAGGCTTGTGTGTTGGATGCAGGCATCCCCACAGTACTGAGAGAGAAAATAATGCAATTTTAAAGGCTATCCAACAATTTGTTGCAGACCTGTTTGCCGAACCGGCTGGTTTGAAATTGACTTCCTGCATAATATAGGCTCTCACACGCATTGCTGATATGGGTCTGGGACCCTAGCATTAAGACTTGCGACGACGGGCAACCACTGGAAATGTAGATTTAATATTTTTTGTGAGGTCCTGAGTAAGGAAGTCAGCAGAAAATAGTGAACATAGGTTGGGGTGTTCGTGCAACATGTGGGAAAAAAAGCAATCAAAAAGTGATTGCGGAGACCTAGGAAAGCAAAACATGGACAGGAAAATAGTGAGCAAATAGCAAGAAAATAGTGAGCATACTGACTGACATATTGTGAAACGCCTCCCGAAACGACACGTGACGTTTATATATATTAGGTTTCGATTATGGATTGCTTTTTGATCACATTTTGGTCACTTTTTTGTGCGTTCTTCTTGCTTTTGGTATCCAAATATTTCAATCACATCACCTTTGGATCGCTTTTTGCTCACCTTTCCGCTCACTGTTTTTTTTGACTTGTCCCCTATCCTGCACTCTGAGATTGCTTTTCGTTTGCTCCAACTCCTACTCCGAAATCACTAAAAAAGTTATTTTGGCAACCCTCAGTGGTTGGCTGGACTCCATCTAGCAAAACGTATCAGAAAGTCCTGGAGCTTTGAGGACTTGAGGAGCGAAACTGTAAAGCTGCACCACCCAAGAACTACCACCTTTTTTTGTGCCTGTGAAGACTGGATGTAGGGAGCAGATAAGACAGCTATACATAAATAGTAAGATGTATGCAGTAGAGAGGAAGCTACCAGTAGCAACGAGCCTCTTCAAGATTGCATCGCATGGCTTGTTCCCGAACGGAACCGTCAGCAGTGAACTGAGGTCATTGGGCCAGATGAGACTGGCCCTTTTGAACTCACGTTTGCAAAGAGATCGCTTCGGAGATCATTTGCCGGAAGAAATTGTTTGATTCCTGCTTCAATCAGTTCACTGATGAAAGCTTTTGCCCAGCAGCCAATGCAGAGTGTCTAAGGACATATCTTATTTACAATGTTATTGTGCTGCACTCTCTGTTACCAGCTTTGAAAGCTTGCAGCAGCAAGAGGCAATGCAGCGAGAAGCTGCTTCCCAGCTTGACAGGATTTGCAACAAAACACAAGGAATCATGACTGGATCAGTATGTTCAATGAGGATTTCTTCAGGCCGTCGTTGCCTACTAAGGCACACCATGCATGTGTCTACAGCATTATATGGCAAAACACATCATTGAGCCCCAAGTCAGGTCACACCAGTTGAGCCACCGTTAAGCTGCGAAGATTCTGGATTGTTCCACGAAGTGGAACTGGTGATTGGTAGTTAGCTGGGTCTTACCCCCAGAAGCTGGATGATCTAAATAGTCCTTTTGCTGCCGACCGACGTATTTCTTGAACGTTGTGCTGCTGCCACACCATTCCACAAGCACTGGCAGCCTCAATTGGCACTCAATCAGATGCCGATCTTTGGATGAGGGTCGGGAGTTTGCCTTGACCTCTGGTATCTTGATGTATCTTGCAGGAACCCTGATCACGGATCATGGATGCTTTGTGCCCTGAAGATAACAGCCTAAGCGTTGAATGACGAGACTGCACTTCCTGGCAGGGCATTGGTGTCCTCACCTTTCACTGCAGCAGGATTGGAGGCTGGCTTTGAGCTGGACTGGGGGTCAAGATATTCCACGCGAGCGAACCAAGAAAAGAGAAAAGAGGAAGTTAAGGAGGGGCCCTTGAATATGGCCCCTTTAAGGGGGGGGCCTTGTTCAAGGAGCCCTTGCGGTCCTTTTTGTTCCTCTCTTCTTGGTTTTGCAAAAGTGAGTCAACTGTAGGATCTGCGGCTCATGGTGTTCCCAGAAGGAAGAGAGATCACCAAGGCCGGGAGGCAAACCAGTGTGTCGAAGGTAAACAAAGGGAAGATCATACTCTCCAAGAGAAGAATGATGCGTTAACCTGCCATATCGCTGTGAATTTGATTCAAACATCATTGGGATTGTGACTGATATTGGGGCTTTCTTTGGCAGGGGCCCCGCAGCAAGCGCCAGCGTGAGCTCTATGCAAAGAAGGCCTGATGTCACCTAGGAACCAGAAAATGTCGAACATGTGATCGATTCAAGTCATTTAAGCAATTTTAAGCATATACACAGTACTGTTTGATATGATGTCCAGGTGAACGAAGGGCCTTTGGATGGCTGCCTGAAGATCAAGGCCCGATGAGACGGGAGGTGAAGTTGGAAGCCGGAAGAGGTTAAAGACGAACTTTGGAGGTTTAGAACTCTGGCATGACACAGGTTCCCAGCTGCCCAACAAACCTGGAGCTGCAGTACTTTCTAAAGGCCAGACGTTCCGCGTTTTGGCTCTGAAGCAATGATATAGAACAATTACAGAGCATTGCTGCATTGCTCTACAGACCTTAATGCTTCCGACAATCTACCCAGAGGTTGGTACAAGCCGGAAAGGGCCATTTCGACATAACTTCGCAGAGTCAAGGCCTCAGCTTGCAGAGAAAATCTTGTTTACTTTAATGGTTCATTGTTGCTTGCTTGTTATGGCCCTTTCTTGCTTCCTGGCTGGCTGACTGCAGTAGTCCCGACTCCTATTGAACTTCTATGTTAGATAGTCGTCTTGCGATGTTGTCTTCTCAGTTGAAGGCCTCCCAAGTTGTCTCAATCTGGCCGCTAGCCTGTCAATGCCTAGCAGTTGATTTCATCGATAGAGCGCAATCCAGGTTGGAGCCCATCATGACTCTTGAAGGAATGACTTCGAGAATCGATGATGAAACAAGTAGTAACCGGGAGCTGAAATTAAAGTGAAACATGCTGCTTTCCAGACCACTTTTACTTGTTCGCCGCAAAGAGCCAGGAACCTCTAGAGAAGCATAATACCAAGTTCCTCAAGCCGTAGTCAAAACTGTGGAGAAGACTCGGGCAAGTATCGATGCGGAAGAGGCAAACGTCCTTAGACAGTCAAGACAGATCCGGAATGAATTTCATGTGGAGGCAGCTGCCCTTTTCCACTGCAAAAGGGTTCCTTACATTTCTACAGATAGTGAGGAGTAAACGTCCTAACCTTAGCCAAACTTACACCTTGTACACAGTACCCGTTGCAAGAGCTCTTTCGCAACAAATAGGACGACCCATGTTAAACCCAGAAGTTTTAGGTGCATGACGTGCAGGCTCAATCAAGATTCTTGGGCGGTGACATTTTTCTGCCTTGCTGAGGAACACAGTGAGCGGCTGTGACGACTTTGGCGTTGATTGGCTGCCCTGAACCTAGAAAGCCAAGCAGAGAAAGGTCCCAGTATGTCCCAGTTGCTAATGCATCACGCAAATAGAAAAAGCGGCACAATTTGAGTACAACGCAGTCAGGAAGCAGTTGGAGTCTGATGGCAGCCTTTTGGTATGTGTTGAGTTTGTCAAGGCGGAGTGCCGCAATGCTTTTCTATTCTTGCTTACTTTGTCTCTCTCCCTTTCTCTCGCACTCTCGCCCTTTTTAGCTTATATAAGAGTGTTTTTTCCAAAATATGTTCAGTATGCAGGATTCGACCACCGTGCACACATGCGGGAAACACGTAACAATAACACCTCCTAGGTCCTAGCAGCTCTTTTGCCACCCTTAAATTCTGACTTCATGCAGTTGGCCAATTCATTGCCCGGCCAGGAGGACAAGTAAGATGCTTTGAAGGCCCTGCAAGATGCTATGCATGCGTTGAAGATAGTTTTGTTCACAGGCATTCCACATTCCTGTGTTGCATCTTTCGGCAACACTGCTAGGTACGTAGGGCGAGCGCAGGTATTGTACAGTGCTGCACTGAGAGCCAAATTGCACTTGTTATATTTTGATTCGCATTTACTGAGGTGACACTTCTGTGCTCTTCCCTGGCCTTGCCTCAGCGGAGTAAGAGAGTGAAAGTTTAGCCTTAGAGGCTGAGATGCCATGCTGCAATGCACTATCCATGCACCCTGCTTTGGTTGCTGTTTGCCTTATTCCCTCGACAGGCTTTCGAGAGATTAGCTCTCACTTGCTGAGCTGAGAGATTCGGCCCTTGCTTCGTACAGAGTGGAGGGACCCATCTGAGACAGATCTGGATCCCCAGCATGAAATGAGGAGGTGGGATGTGTGTCTACATTGTTATATATATATACTTATTTTCTTGCTTTTAGCTTCTTTGTCCTGTTTCAGCCCGTGTATTTCAGAATGGATGGTGAATTTGCTTGCTCCAGCAAGCTGCTTAACGGGGTAGAGGAGCTAGAGGGTGAAACAAGTTCCATCCCTTCTTGACCTCAACTGTATCAGGGTGATGCAACAGGTGTTTGTGTGAAGACAAGCGGCATGGGCGATCGATTTGTGCGGGTCTCTTGGAGCTGAGCTAGAAGCTGCTCAGCAAGAGGTTGACCGAGAATAGGGAGAAGTTTTCTTCGAACAAAAACAACGCACATGTTTTCTTGAATGTTAAGATAATGCTGAAGAGTGAGAAGCTACTAGTAACATGTTGTTGCGATGTTGGCAGAGTCGAGTCTGGCCGACTTCAGTCTCCGATGATGCATGTGGAAGCTTGCTGCTCATAGCAGCATCCCCGTGGCTTGTTTATTAACAACGACTGGCCATGATAAACCAAAGCACTGACGCGGGACTTCCAAGAATTACATACAAAAATATCACCTTCTCTTCTTGTTCCAAATTTCCTGAACACCTCAAAAAGCCAAGGGAAGATAAATCATCTAAATCCTGACGGGGATTTTCGGAAGATACATGACACATGATACTGATATATTGATGGTAGTACTAGTACTAGTACCAGTAGTCGTAGAAGAAGAAGAATAAGTAGAAGTAGTAGGATACAGTATATAGTATATAGTAGTCGTGGTGGTGGTGGTCGTCGTCGTAGTAGTAGTAGTAGCAGCAGTAGCAGTAGCAGTAGCAGTAGCAGCAGTAGGAGTAGTAGTAGTAGTAGTAGTAGTAAAAATAGTACTAGTAGTGTCGTAGTCGCAGTAGCAGTAGCAGTAGCAGTAGGAGTAGCAGCAGTAGCAGTAGCAGTAGCAGTAGCAGTAGCAGTAGCAGTAGCAGAAGGAGTAGGAGTAGGAGTAGGAGTAGGAGTAGGAGTAGGAGTAGGAGTAGGAGTAGGAGTAGGAGTAGG